TTATAACTAGGGTTAAGGTGTGACCTACCTGCCAAGTTTGAACGAAATCGGCCAAGCCAAAAAAGTCACAGAAGAAATAATACGTGAACACTGGAACACTGGAAATGTACACACACAGACACACACACACACAAAACAACAAAAGTGATTATAAGGGCAATCCTAGCGGAGCGGATCGCCAATAATCCAACCTTCATATATAAACTATTTCAATGAAGTTTCATAGGTGGTTGCTATACACAGGTTTGACTGTACTTTTGGTTAGTATGCTTCAGACCAAGATTGGTAAGTCCAAATCCAATCTAAGGATGAAATCTGAAGTTAACCTGTGTGACAAGTGTGTCACAGACTCAGTGGGGAAGCATTGCTGAAATTGAGAAATGTAACTTTGGAGGAACCTGGGTTAAGGTCTGCAGGTTCTTGTGTGACATGGGCCTGAATGATGCTGGGATATACCGGTAGTGTATTTAATTGCCATTAATGCCATTAAGATAGCAAGATGGTCACACATGAAGTTCTGCAACATATTATAGTGCTCTGTTAGAAACATTATTATATGTTTTTTATGGCAAAATTAATATCAGGAACTTTATTCTCACACAAAAATATCTAACAACAAAATAATATTAATAACTTTTTTCATTGCAATTTTGGTTATGGAAATTTACCTGTACATTCTACTTATAATTGACAATTGAAGTTCACTTAAATTCACTACCAAATATGAAAATTTACAGCTTTTATTTTAAACTTATTTAGTTGGATCACATAACATATATTGTATACCAAGGTCATATAAATCTTAGAATTAATTAATATGTAATCTTTAATGTTTAAGGAACAGTGTATATCCAAACTCAAAAAGAAAATTGAAATGTTGGAGAATGAAGAGGATGCAAGGATGAAAGAAGTGGATAAAATTAGAAAAGAAAATGAAACCCAGAAGAATAAACTAGATAAGCTGGAAAAAGAAAATGAAAACAAGGTGTGTTACAGCCGTTCTGAGAATTATTCGGACAGTCAGTTAGCAAAATGACTTGCAACTTTGCAAAACACTTTGGTCTTTGCCCAATCTAGACTTGTCGGCGCCACTTGAGTGACGGGCGCATGGTTTGGGATTACTATTTCATAGGGGTTGTCTGCTTGGTGAATTGTAAGTATTATCTAGCGTGCGTTCACAGCAACCATTCTTTATTTTTTATAATTATATTGTAATTATTTTCAGTAATTTTGAAAATCACAAGTTGGATGTTGCTTAAATCTGTCAAAAAATGTCAACTCCTCGCTCATTTTAGTCAGTTGTACCTGTTACAAAAATGGACTAGACATAATAACGGTTCGTTATACCCCGTCATTTTCAAATTGCAGTTGAAAAAGTGATTCGATCAAGGAAAGGCGCAGACTTTTGATTT